CTGGTAATCGAACTGACAATCTTTCAGCTCAGGGGGCAACACCCAACCAACTAAGCCACACCAGCCAGGGCGAAACTGGCTGTATTTAAAAAAATATTGTTATTTTCTTTTTGAGTAAAATAAATAAATAAAAACATGAAAATATAGTTATATTTAAGAAGAAAATAAAAGCACCTAGAGATACCCATTGTTCATCTTTTTCATATTTTTCTATGCCTTTAGTCTATGTATGTATTTATTTATTTATTTATTTTTTACCCTCACTCGAGGACATTTTTTCATATTTTTGTTCAGATAGAGTGGGAGGGAGAGAGAGGAAGAGAGAGAGAGAAACATCGATGTGAAAGGGACACATTGAGTGGCTGCCACCCGCACAACCCAACCAGGGCCGGGGACAAACTGCAACCGAGGTACATGCCCTTAGCGGGAACTGAACCCCGGCATCTCTGGTCCGCAAGCCAATGCTCTAACCACTGAGAAAAACTGGCCAGGGCTAGTCTATGTTGTTAAACACATATATTTTAGATAATTAAAATCATGTTGTATATTTAGTTTGTATCTTTTTTTTTCATATAGTATGTCAAACAACCTCCAGGTAATTACAGTGTCTTAAAAACATTGTTAATGGCTAGATAGTATTCCAAAGTATGAATATTTAATCTTTCCATCGATAGGCATTTAGATTGCTGGCAGGGTTTAATTGTTATCACTAATACTGAGGAAACATCCTTGTACATATATTTTTGTATTTCTGATGATTGCTTTGTGGTAGCTGTCTAGCACTAACGACTATTGACTAAAATAAGTGGAAACAATTTTTACAAATCATGCTGCCTCTTGCCTGATGACTTTTCATTAAGTTTGTACAATCTGTGCTCTCAGTTATAATTACCAGCATGTGGGAAAGTTCCTGAGGAACCTACCGTTCACCAAGTTACCTAGGTGCTTTGAGCCCAGGGCCGGGGCACAGGGCCTGGCAGGTGGCTGGACACCAGCAAGAGGCTCGTTCACTCTGAAGCTACTGTGCTCTTTACCTGCGTGCACTGCTCCGCATCTTGTGAAGAAGCCTGACTACGCTTTCAAAATTGTTTGGGTAAATAGTGATCATGGCATCACAGACTGTTTTTCTTCCTAAGCATTTCTGTTTCTATGCTGGAGGCACCCACAGCTTCGGCAATTGTGTGGGAATACGTTCTAACTGGGAAAAATGAGGAATTCTAAAGTTAGGCCCGAAATCTTGCAGATGGTTCCCAGGACTTGAAGCATGGAGCCATTGGGAAGGGCCTGGACCTGGAGTCCACTTGCGTTTGCTCCTGCTGCAGCACAGCTGTGCAATCTTGGACAGCTTGTATTCTTCCCTTTAAAACATGGCTCCTACTATGTTTTTCTCCATAATTTTTGTGAATATTAGAGAGAGTAACGTTTGGGTATAACAATTGTTTCATGAAGTGAGATGGCTCCCATGTTTGTGTCAGTAGGTTTTCCAGTTGGATTTGGGAGTCTCAGGGCAGATAAGTGCCACACTTTTGCCCTGAGTTGGTTTCGGTTCAGAATTATGCATCTGGTGAGGTTGAGGTATGGGAATAGAATAGAGTAGACTATCTTCAGCATGAGACTTGACTAAATAAAGGTGTATCAAATCAATGATTGGAGTGGCCATTCACTTAACTTACAACTATTGAATACTTACTTGTCCTGGCACTGGGGTTGGCCTGTATGAGCTCATTTACTCTTCAGAAATACCCTATGAGGTGGGTACTACAGTCCCCAGAAGAGAATATTTAGACTTAGAGCCCCCTTCAGTTGGATTGTGAAATTTAACCAATAAAAATACAGAAAATATTGCTTGGGGCATACTTATACTAAAAAATTATTTGTTGTTTATCTGAAGCTCAAATTTAACTGGGCATCCTCTTTTGCCTGGCCACTCTACCCATAACTTCCCTCAAGATCATGCAGAGAGTAGAGAAGAAAGTTAGGACTTAGAACGTTGGTCCATTTGGCTTTGCAGCCCATGGTTTGACTTTTTACTTTGTGATGATTTTTTTTTTTTTTATCCTCACCCGAGGACATTGTTCAAATAGAGTGTGAAGGGAGAGAGAGAGAGAGAGAAACATCGATGTGAAAGGGACACATCGAGTGATTGCCACCTGCATGACCCAACCAGGGCCGGGGACAAACTATAACCGAGGTACATGCAGTTAGCAGGAACCGAACCCGAGTCTCTCTGGACTGCAGGCCGATGCTCTAACCACTGAGCCAAACTGGCCAGGGCTCTGTGATGATTCTTTAAGAAAACAGAATTAGAATTTAAATGTGAAAAGTGAGGAAAATGGTGTCAGAAAGTCTTTCAATTTCTTCACTCATTGTAAATTTAGGAGCTAAACTCAGAGACATTTTTCTCTTTCACCTGAACAGTGAAAGGTATTTCCATATTAGGTTTAATGATTAAAAGTGGAGGCAGCTAAGATAGCTACCATATGCTGAATACTGGGCTACAACTAATCTGGGAAAAGCCCAAGGTTTTAAAATGAGGGTTTCAGATAAGAAGTTAAAGACTTTAAAGCCAGACAGTTCTTGAGGTGACCTGTCAGTTGGGAGCACCAGTGCTCCCAAAGCCAGTTGGCCTACTTGACATTGTACATGACCTTCTGTTGGGAAAATACTGAGGAGTAATCCAAGATGATGTGTTATTCATCCAGTACCCCTGCTGAATTTGGAATAGGTGTTTGAGTTTCCTTTTTTTTCCCCATGGGCTGCATAGAAGGTTATTTGCTGCAGTAGAAGAATTGGATATTAAGTAAGGGGTAGATATTTCTAGGCTCTCAAAAATCCAGGAGTGTTCCTTGGTGGTCAAATGCATGCACATGGGCTATACCTGCTCTTTAAAAGCTCACCTATCTGCCCTCTCGGTGCCACTGGGTGTTCACCTCGGGAGTGTGAGTCATTCAGGATCAACCTGGGCACTGCTCATTGCTGTGGTGTTGGGCTCCATATCTGACCTGTATGCTGACCTTTCCGGGGTGGAGCCTGGAGGCTCTGGGGGCAAGACGATGAGAGGGATGAAGAACTTGTTGGGACAAGACTCCCTGTGGAAGGGGAGGGTGAGGAGCAGTTTGCTTCCTTCCCCTCTTCTGACCCTCCCTTGTGTTGGTATCACACAATTGCAGTAGGGATCTTGAGAAAGAGAGGGAAGGGATTTTTTCTAAGCCTGCCTTGGGAGAAATTTGACCTTCATCTCTTTATTAAAATTGAGTGGGAAATCAACTTTTTTAGTAGCTTTGGTTCTGGAAGGCCAAAGGAAGTAGGAATCCATTATTTGGCACCAATTTTGTGTTATGGGAACAGTTTTGTGTTATAAGATTTTCTGGGAGTACCAATCATTTGAATGATTTAACAAGAGTGAGTATTTCTGAGATCTCAAGTTTTGGGGTGCAATGCTGTGTTCAAAGTCCTGGTTAGTTCAAATTAAACAATGAAGTCTGCTTTTCCAGAATTTCAAGACCAATAATAATAGTATAGTAATATTATAAAATAATTATGATTCTAAACATTTTGTGTATTAAATGAATACTTTCAATACCACTTAGGAGTGGGAGTTGTACAAGTAAGGAAACCAAGAAGCAGAGAATTTAAGTAAGTCACCTAAGGTATACACAACTAGTTGGTGGCAGAGGCAGGATTTGAATTCAGGCAGATTATTCCTAAACTCATGTCTATATAAATGTCAGATGCATCTTGCAAAAGGGATATTCTAATAATGTGTACCTACACACACACACACACAAGCACACCCACACATGCATACCCCTTTGAATTTCAAGTTTTTATGAGTAAGAGCAAACAGTGGGGTTTGTAAGTTGGGAAAGAGGTGAATGGGAATTGGGGTAGAGCTTGGCACCTTAGAGTGGGTTGGCAGTCTGGATTGGGTGGTCCTGAAGGGAATGGAGGAAAGGGGTTGACACTGTCAGGTGCAGAATGGGAGGTGCTGGGAGCCTCAGGGGCCACAGTGGAGGCTGGGGAAAAGAAAACAGCAAAGGGGGATTCATATTAGAGAATTCTGGGAGTAAGGGAGTTAATTCTCAGGATGCAGAGACCTGGTAACAATTTTTAATGCAAGACTACAGTAAATTTGCTTGTGAAGTATTTGTTTGTCTGTCTACCTATTTCTATAAAGAAATTGATTAAAACATGCAAATAATTCTTATGTATACTTTAGGGAAAACTACTCTAATAATATACTGGTTCATTCACTAAGAACTGGCTTTTTAAACCCATTCATGCTACTTACCTTGCCTACAGGGACGTGATTTGTTTTCACCTGAGAAGGAGCTCTCACCGTCCGTGTTTTGAAACTGTAATCTCATTCATTCTAAGTGGGAAACATTCCAGCCTTTTCTGTAATCATTGCTGTGTTTGTGCGTGGAGTAGGGATAAAAATCGAGGGAAAGATTCAACACTAGTCAATAAGTATGTGTTTAGCCCAACCGCCGCAAAAGTAGTGTACAATGTAGAGGACCACATGTGGCTTATTTTGAATGGGTTGCTTTAGCCTTAAATGCAGTGATGTTTGCTTCTGAGATGGTGTGTGTCTGTGTGTGTGCTTGTGTGTGTCTGTGTGTATGTGCATGTTCGTTTTCTGCATTCAGCCTGCGTCACTACCGTGGCAATCAGTGTTTTCTCAATGGCTCTGTAGGTGAGGAGGCTTTCTTTGATGGTTAAAGTCCTACACTTCCCAGACATGAAATGTGCATAATGCCTTGAGGGCTTTAATCTCAGCACTAAGCATGCATGTCTCATACCTAAAGTAGCCACAGCGCCTGCATTCCCACAGTAGCGGCAGCCCTGAGCAGATGCTTCCAGCGTTCTTATCTGGCTGTGCTTTGCACTTTGGGACAAAGTTCTAGAATCCTATCTCATGGATTTATTTTCTCCACACTGTAAAGGCTGAATTGTGAAGATCTCATCATGCTTCATAGGGTAGTATGAGCCAAGTTCTTGGGACTGCTAAGGATTTCTTTGCCTTTTTAAATTTTTTTTCCTTTTCCTTTTCTGGAGATGTGTATCAGGAAAAGGCTTTGCCTTTAGAGAGAAATTTTACTGCTCTTGCCAATAATGTATAACAATATTAAATTTAATGGCAGACCTTGAAGTGTATAAAAACTTAAGTCCAGAAAAAGGTAAGAGTCATACTACTAATTTTAAGGTAAGTGTAATAGTCCTAGTAAAAGATGGTATACATTTCTTATTTTATTTCATGTTAAGGTAAAGATTTATCTGACTTTTAACAACATAATCAAGAATATTATATTTCAATGTGAGACGAAAAGGTAACAAAGTATTTTCAATTATGCAAAATAGTTTTTTCTTGCAAATGTGTACTTTCATAATGGTAGAATTTGCATGCACATAAATTGGAAGTGAATTAATATAATTCAGTGATCAGTGACAAAACCTTTTGTATTCTTAGGTTCAAGCCAAGGATGCAGATATGCTTAAAGATTTTGTCTAATGCTTACAAATTGTGGGTTTTAATGTAAACATCGTCAAGTCTTATTCAGTGTGAATAGTGTTAAATTAAACTGTATTTCAACTTTTTATGATCATCTGGACAGAATGATTCCCAATTTGTAGCAAAGCTACTCATGTTTAATAATTACAATTATTTTTATAATTACACATAATATGTTTATAATTAGCTTTCCTAAATGAAATAGCATAAGTATTCAGTATAGATAAAATGGAGGCAAAATCCATGTATCAGTGTTCTTAGAACCTATCTGTGAGCTCCAGTAGCATGAGAGAAACATTTTAACGTATGAGTTAGGAGATTAGAAATTTAAAATATATGGAAATTGTTCTTGAATTATCAGAAATGTTTCTGACTGGTCAGACAGAATAAATGGCATGTCAAGAAATGTCTTCTCAGCTTATCTTCAAACTGAAATTGGTCTGTCATTTCAGATTATTCATGTGTGTCTACTCAAATGTAACTTCATCACGTCAGTGCTAGGTCTGAGAGCTTGTCTTGAGATTGTTGCTAGTTTATGGTGTCAACTTCAATGTGTCATGTTCACAGTGGGAGCATTGATGCGTGCTTTTTATTCAACATAGAATTTGAACCATGGTTGAGATTTCTTGAGCATAACTGAGTTTTGTAACCCTTGGAAGGACCTTTTATACAGAAATAGGGTAGGATTTGGTTTACTCAATATGCAGTTTGTTAGAGGATTTTCTGTTTAGAGTTTTGACTTTTAATGTGTTTGGAAACTCTTGTATGCTGAATGTAGGAGTAAATTGACTTGCATAGCATACTGTCAGTATTGTCTTGCTTTATACATCATGGAAGTAATGATAAAAATGAATTCTATTACTTCATATAAAGTAATCTTTAAGATTGAAGTTAAAATTAAGCTTTAGTTCTTAAACATTATGGAAATTGGAATGAATTTTTTTCTAGCTGTATAAACCTTTAAAGTTGCTGAATATAAGGTGTTTTGTTTCAAGATAGATGTCTATACATACTGATGGTCTTACTAGAGATTTTTAAAAATGAGTATATATTTCATATTTTACTTAATAGATTTCAATTATTTATTTTAATGGTTTATTTTGCAGAGTGAAAAATTTCCTTTACTGACTGTACATCTTGGTAGTAAAATTATCTTAGTAGGTAGCAAGACAATTTTAAAAGAATTTCATCTGAATTCCAGATCAGTTTTAAATGGAACATCTTAAAATATACAGATCCACTTCAGAGTGTATAAAATTAGTAGAGTCTTAATTATCATGAAGGCTGAGTTGTATTATTAAACAATAATGTTAGTGAGAGTGGTTTCAATGGATGGGGATACAAAGTTGGAAAATGTTCATTCAGAGCCAGGAAGACCAACGAGAAGAAACTTGAGTTTTGATGGCATCTCCTTAGTTTTAAAACTGTATTGTAAATGTAAAACTCATGTGTGCTCCTACATTTTGTATTTATGTATATACTTAGGAAATTATTATTATAAGCCTCAAATTTAATACAATGTACTAACCCTCCCAGTTAGAAGTCATCTTAGGGATTCTTAAAGCAATCAGTACTGAATGTGTAAGGGGTTTGAGCTGCAACATAAAAACAGATGTCAGAGCAAGCCTTTGGTATCTAAGGCAAGTGAATTTATGATCTTGTTATGTCTGTGACCCCCAACTTTCTTTTCAGTAAAAAGAGATTATACTACTTGCTTGCTTACTTTACAAGAGTATTATAAGAATTACTATGGTAATGTCTCTGAAACATTTAGAAGATGGAAAATGTAAACTGATATAATCATAGAAATAAGAATACTGCACACTCCTTCTACTTGAGTTGAAAAGAAATTGAATTTATTTTGCAATGCAAATATATAAAAAAAACACTTTGACCTGGAACCTTGGTAGCATCTGCTATAATTTTCCCCTTGGCTCAGTGTAACCTACATGCTGGAAGTGTGTGTGCTGTGTATAAATGCCTCATAGAGCTGATGTCAGTGTAGGAGTGAGTCCTAAATTTCTAGAGCGGGGAGAAACCACAGCAAGCTCATTGTTTTTTAAGGAGAAAAAAACAGACTGCACAATTTTCTCCAAAACATTAAGTAGATCTGTGGCTGAAATCAAGTCTGATTGTGATGGCTGGACTCACTCTTTTCAATCACATAGATTTTTGCTTTTAGAAGTTGCTAAACGTTTAGGTACTTGTCATTTCTCTCATCATGTCATTTGAATTCTTTGTACAAGACAATTTTTAGGGAGGGGAAAATAGAGAGTTTCTTATGGAATTTTTAACTGTTCATAATTGGTACAATCATGGATGTATTGGTTGCATCATATACATACAAGGTGTTCATTGAGGACATAAAGATAAAAGTATTAACCTCTTTTGTAGTAACTCATGATGCAGTGCAAAGACCTGCTTATATCACTGTAGTTATGGTAGCACAGTGATAGAGGAGCATTCCAGTGGTACCTTGAATGTGGAAAGTCAGCAAAGGACTTCTAGGAGTGACATTTGAACTGACACTTGAAGAATAAGAAGGATTATATCAGGTAGATAAGCAAAGATTGAAGATGAAGAAGTAGGCAAGGGCCAGGTATTATAATAAAGACTCATAATCCATGTTAAGACATTTGGACATTATTAAAAAAAAAAAAAAGGCAGCAGGAGGCTTTAAGCTGGGGAGCGACTAATCTGATTTGATTTTCAGAAAGATCTCTCTTCAGAAAGATCAACAGCTTAGAGACTGGGGAAAGGAAAAAGTCTGGAGCAAGGAGACCAGAAGGCTGTTGCAGTCAGTAGGTGAGACTACAGTGGTCTCAACCCAAGTTTCTTAGCTTAGATAGAGCTTTCATAAGAAAACGTTGTACTCTCAAGTTGACACTGGTGTCCTTTGCCCCAGCCCCCTGATCAGAGCTGCCCTAGAATTCACACTGCTTCTTCCTCTGCACATGCCTTTTTTCAGTCACTGTGTTGTAGTTGGGATAAATCAGCTGTAAATTGATAATTGCCTGATAATGAAATTTAACATTTCTGCTCATCCTGAGTTGAAACCTCTTGTCCACTAGACTGGCTATGAGTATTTCTGTTCTTCTTTTACAGAGATCAAAAACTTATTTCCCCAAGAAGCTCAGAGAACTCCAACTCAACCTATTTTAGGTTACAGGACATTGATTTGAATGTTGTCATGTTGCTTGCATTGTCAGTCCAAATACAGTGGTAAAGTAGGGAGGTCAGTGGCCATGTCTTGATATTTAACTTCATTAAAAATGGCTATTTTTAGAAATTGTGATGGAAGGAGTCTTGACATGGGATGGTGAGCACATAGTACAATATATACATGATGTATAATTGAATTGTACACCTGAAACCAATATGATTTTATTAACCAATGTTACCTCAATAACTTCAAAAAAACAAACAAACAATAAAAAGGCTATTTTCTTATTTAATGTAGATGATGTTCATTATACTGTGTACTTTATGGTTCCCTCTCTTAACCCTCTTTACCTCTTTTTTTCCCTTTAAATATGTTTTTATTGAGTTTTTAGAGAGAGAAGAAGGGGGGGAGAGAGAGAGAATCATTGATGTGAGAGAGAAACATCAATCAATTGCCTCCTGCACGCTCCCTACTGGGGATTGAGCCCACAACCTGGACAGGTGCCCTGACTGGGAATTGAACCGGGACCTCTCAGTCCATAGGACAAAATCAATCCACTGAGCCACACTGGCTGGACTCACTTCTTTCTTAAATAAAAAATTTAAAAAGTAGTTCTTTCTTAAATAAGCTACTTTTAACTATTTTACTTTTCTTTTTGTAGGGTTTTAGTGTTACTTTCATATCTCTAAATGATATACCACTATCTATTGATTTTTCTATTTTTCTGTTATCTATTGATCTTCTCCTATGGTAGATGAGGAATTAGTTCACCTATCACCCCCAAATATCTTTGTTACTCTATTGGTTACCTTTGTAACTTTAACAATTCACTTACACTTTTGATTCCTGCTCTCCCAAACAGAAATAATTTATCTAGTGACCATAATACTCCTTTCTCTCACTATCCTTCCTAACTTCTATCACATATAATAATTTTTTCATTCTTTTTTTGTATGCACAATTACTCCTTCCATGTTTTGATTATAGGTTGATTTGAAAAGATTAATATTAATTAGAATAGTTTACATACTATGACTACATAAAATAATGTTATTGTGACTATGTAAATTCTCATCAGAGCTAAGTCATTACCTAAGTTAAATTTGGTTAAGGACACTGCTTCAGAAAATGATGTCTGAGGAAAAGGACAGATTCGGGAGATCTCTATACCAGATAATCACATCAAATTCACTAGAAGAAAAATTGAGTGCCTGATAATAATTTTGACAACTAGCAGTCTTCATCATAACTCAACCAGGCACATATAGTCACTACCTCCAATTTGGGATGAGGAATCTGAGGGGCAGGAAGAGAAAAATGACTTGCCCTAGGTCATTCTGTAATTGGTAGAGCTGACAGTTGAGTCCTGTTGGCCAACTTTGGAGCCTGGACTCGTGGTCATGTTCCCTTTCTTCCTGATACTGTTATTTCTTGGGGGTGATATGATACATAGGCAGGAAACAATTGCCTTCTCTGTAAAAAAATTCTTCACCATCTCTGTAAAG